ATTTTCAATAATGGTAAATGGCAACCCTCCATTAACAATGAAACGTAATAAAAGTTGGTCCAATGTTGCTAAAAAATAATGAAAAAGTAAAACATTAATATAATTATACCATTATAAATAGATATAAATAATAATAAAAAAAATTATTTCACACTATTTTTTAATAGTAATAACCATTAAATGCATTAAATAAATTTATAATATTAAAAGTCATACATCAATACACATTTAATGTATTACAAACTGCAAAAAATAACCATAACATTTTTAATTACAAATAAGTTTTAAATATATTTTAAATTAAATATTTTTTTCAATTAATTAGGCATCATATTAATAACATACTGTTTCTGTTGCTCAAAAATAATAATTCATAACCAGGCAATAATTTAAATAGTAAATTTATAAATTGTTAAATAAATTTCAGAATTTATTTAGTGTATATTTAGGTACAACCTTTTATTTCTCTAATATAAAATTTTGACACACTTACCTTGACTAGTATATTTCTTGTTTAAACAATCCTCAAGATTTGGTTGATTTGACTGTAGTAATTTATCTATTTTACTTTTTTTAGGTGGACTTTCACTGCAGTCGTTATTTGTCATATTGTCAGATGTGACACTTCCTAATCCATCAAATTTTTTTAAAATTTCAGGATGTTTGCTCTATAACAGTTGAAATCAATACAGTTTTTTGTTTATATTCATGACAAAATATACATTAGCTATATTATCTTAATATAAATTAATCAAATATAATTATAATTATAATTTAAATTTAAAAAGTCGTGATTTGAAAAAAGTTGAATAAAATACACTATTTCCAGGAACTTAGATTAAAAGTTATTAATGATGTCAAAACCAGTGCACTTAATAAAAAAAAACAAAATATACCCTTGTCTGTTCAATTCTTTAATTATTAAGAAAATCCTTAATAATACTTAAAATAATCAATAAAAAAAACTATTTTAGTGTCATAAATTGTTAATCATTAGCAAATAGATATCTATTTATTACTTACATTTAAATGTTTCCTTAAATTAGAGTTGGACCTGGTATCAATAGTAAGACTTTTATTGCCACAACAACACAAACATTTAACTTCAAGTTTTTTAAAAAATATGTTATCTTCTTTGACTTGCANATTCAAGTTTTTTAAAAAATATGTTATCTTCTTTGACTTGCAGAATTTTAAAATATTTTGCATAGCTTTGCCTAGGAAAATCGTTAGAAAAAGACATTTTGAGTTCATAAAAGAGTATTTAGTCACGCAAATAAGACAAATACATTCGCCACAAAGAAAAAACTGATAGCATAATAACATTCAAATAGTCCATATAGACAAACGATAAAAATAACTTGTTTAAATAAGCCCACAGTAT